GCCGACGGACAGCGGAAACATAAAGTAGCCGCGTCGTTGTCGTCATTCTTATCATCATCATCATCGTCGTCGTCGTCGTCGTCGTCATCGTATTCATCGCGGGTGTACTGTCGGTGTTCCGATGGATCCACCGACGCTGTCCTCCACCTCCTGAGCGGGTCGCCATCGCCTACAAGAGGAGCTGGTGGGTCATCGGACGTCACTGGGCGCGCGGACGTCGGTCAGTGGAGACTGGGGAGGAACTTGCGAGCCAGAGGAAGTAGCCACAGAAGCAGCAGAACTGCAGTCTTCCTGCAGACGCGATGCTCTTCACACGGCGGAGACGACGCCAACTCTTAGCTCCTCTTCCTGTTGACTCTCTTATTATCATAATAATAATATTAATACTCATCATTATCATCGTGCTTTTACCACACACCGCGGTGCAACCTGCTACAGCAGCTGCAGTCATCGGACAATGCCCGTGGCCTGCCCGGCAGTGCCTAGCAGCAACGCAACTCCTGTCAGCACAAGCAAAACTCCTGCACCATCACCACAACACAGTTGCATCACACTACTGCTGTTCGTCTTGATACTCCCCATGATTACGTCTGGTTCGTCGGATTGGTACCGGAATTCCTCCTCGCCGCTCCAGATGCTGAACCCCTGGCTGTCGGCGTGCGACCTCGTGGACCCGTCGAGTGCGCCAGATCTGCAGGGCGTCTGCTTGGTTACTTCAACAACCATGGTGCCCGCCCCAGCACCCACCACAGATAATAACCGCGACAGTAATAATAATAATAATAATAATAATAATGAAAATGGTAATAGTAATAATGTTAATAATAACGTGCACCAGAACTGTAGGGTCAACGGAGACATCTCGGAAGGGCCAGGCCCGCCCCCAGTGTGTCCGTGTGATTGTGAGGACGTCGGCTCCATACACTCAACATCAACAACTACTCCTCATCAAAATACTAATCAGTGCCTTGATTATTTGAATGAATCGCACAAAAAATCCGTGTGTGGGAGTAGCCTGACGCCAAGTGAAAGACAGAGCGCCCTTAAAGGGCTCCGGTTCGAACACTGCTGCGAGCACACGGTGGCGGCGTCTCTGGGCGCCGAGGCGCGCGACAAGGTTATCTTCGGGAACGACAGGCAGACTTGCGAGACGTATATGGACGCACTGCTGGAGCTGGAAGCCCTGGCTAAGAGCATCACATGCAAATTTTCTGAGGTCTTGAAGCGATACGACTGCAGCCAGCCCTACTCCGTCAACTTCCAGTGTGCAGATTGCAAGGTAGGCTCACTTCAACCTTTCCAGAGTGGACGCGGTTTCTTACTTGGGCAAACCCTCACCCCTTTAGAGCCGAGTTTGTCAAAATTTTGTTTGCCTCAAAGAAAACACAACCCGTCTCCATGCCAACGATCAATCGGTCAATGATGTTTTCGGGAAGTAATAATCTCTGTTTATTATTCTGAGAATCACAAAGCACATTTTGTGGCCAAATGCAAAAGACAATGAATGTTAGAGTAGTTCGTGTTGTGTATATGAAACATTTTGCTTTAGACGTATTCACAGAGGCACGCTACACCGCGAAGTCTCCCGATGAACTGCCGGTATTCGAACAAATGACATAAGTCCTTGCCTTTCTTTTTCTGCGGGTATAAAGCTCAGACTTTGGGCCCCAAGCTTTATGAAATAGTTTCCCCAAATGAAATGCAGCTATTCCACAGATAATCAATCTCTCACGCGATAGACAACAGCGATCTTAACTGAGCAAGGACATTCCGCGAGGCGAAATCTGTCCAAGATGCCGAGAAGGATCAGTGGCCGCTTCGTGTTTCTGTGTGAGATAACACAAAATCGATTGAAAGCGATCAAGAATCGGCAGTTAATGCACAAATTCCAATGAAATTTCTGGGGTGGCACGCACCAAATTCCTGTCACAGTCACAATTACTGGATCTTATGGTATTCTTAAAAGAACGTAACTTACCGGAAACTGCATCTGGTCCTGTCCTCAGGTAATCCAGTCTCCGGAAAGTTTTGCTCTTTTAAGAATACCAGTTGATGTGAAAACTTCAGAAATCCTGCAATGCTAATTGTAAAACACTACGGATGTCAGATTCCTCCAGAACTGTTTACTGAAATATTTCTGGTAATGAGGTTTAACAGGGAAAACAAGTGTGTATTTCATACAGCCCCTGCGTCTAGAAACACCAAGACACTGACTCCGGTACAATTATTACCCTAACAGTCGCTCATCACATTCTGTGAGGGGTATTCGAGCCCCTTTGGTGAAATCCTCGTGCTTCTCAAATTAGGTTAAAACAACAATCGTCGCACATCGAATCACAAAAGGTTTCATTCAGACTAACCGAACCACACCACACGGCCCGTCCTCTGACACGCAATCACCGATAGATACAAATTACGTGGTTTTACACAGCCAGACTGCATTCTTATGTGCTTCTGACGAGTACCGTTGTCTGATCAATAATTTAATGCCAACATCGCTGCAGCCTCGTATGCGAAAGGTATCCGGCTCGAATCTAGCGATTCGACCGAGAATTTTGTTTGTCTGTAAAGTCCCTTTATACGAAGAAGTCGTAAAATAGGCTACGGCCACTTCCTTCGGAATCCCCATGTTTGTCATTAGATTATACGTGACGTCAAAAATGAGTACAAGGGGATCGAGAAAGACCACTCTTTTCATTTTTAATTGGATCAACGTTTCGGACGGATAAACTGCGTCTGCCTTCAGGGGTATATACTTATGGACTAGCTGAGCGACTACCAGCTTCTAAAGAAGTACTGTGTTAAACAGAATTAAGTTAGATGTTCGCTATATTTAAAATTTTCTTCGTTTTAATCGGGTCTACATTTCAATCGCGTACAATTTTGTTACCCTGAACAAGTTTTGAGAAAATCCTCCTCTGGACTGCGTTTGGATTAAATTCGCTAGCACAAATCATATATATCCATTTAGCAGGTCCGGAGCGTACAGACGGCTGGACATGGTACACTTTGTGCGAAGAACGGGAGCAGATTGTAGGAATTCGCCATCAGTCATTGTCAGCAGTAACTCTGACTGTCCGATTCATTAGAGCATTATGCGCACTTGTAGGATGATTGATGTAGATCCTGTGTGGGTCCAGCCCAACTACTGTACTTTCATCGTCCTAAGAATAGAGTACACTCGACATGACCCCTGAGCAAATCCACGGCTGGTACGTCATTGAAACGGCTTCATTTCGCAATCACGCCTGAAACACACCTAACACGTGGTCTTGGATTATCGCTGTAACTTTGTTCAGCTGAATTTTTAAAATTTAATTCTGCTTCAAAACTTTCCTCACGTTAAGTTTCTGAAATTTATATCCCTTTAAAACAGCTGAAATCAAATGTCGCGGCCGAGTGGTTAGTATTCCTGCTCACTTTTAAATACTGGCGCGGAGACCGGTTATCTTGACTGAAGTCTTTCGCTGTTTTCTTCAGTATTCCCACGCAAATATAATGAAGGTACATTAAAGTAGGCCACGACCTCTTCTCTCCACATCTTCTCCAATTCATTGTTTGTTGATAACCATGCTGCCCGATGTTATGCAACCTGAGACATTAATGAATTATTTAAAACCAATCTTAAGTTAAATTAATAAGTTAACACGCAGAGTTTAGTAATTAAAGCTAATTCAGAAACATTGAAGTTCAGTGCAAAATGGCAAATTTCATCGGCTCTACTGAGAGACAGGAGGGTTAACGAACCAACGACTAGGAACACGACAGCAACTGTCAGTTTTCCGGGGCTAGTAATGTTGCAGATGCGCGATTCGTGACGCAGGGAAGGAACTATTTCGTAACAGAGCCAACTGCGGTGCCGGGCGAGAACATCGAGAGCATTGCACGCGATCATCTTTGATTCAACGGCACTCGGACACCAGAGTGAGGAACATCCACTGGTCCACGTCCCTGACATCGGGAATCTGCACGGGAGACTAATACTTACGACTTCGGTTCTTATAAATGTATTCTCTTTAGAGCCATGAACACCCCTGAACACAGCCGAATATACTCGGTTCTATGGCTGTTGGTATATAAATCAGCACTTTTCACAGACTTAAGATCGGTACAAACACTTTCTCATTCAATTCGCTTTATTGGTTTTCAAAGTTAGTTTAAAATTCTGCCTAACCATAGACGCTGTAAGTCCGTAAGTTTCTGGTGTAACCTGCCATCACAATTTCACAGGAGCCCACCCTCAGCTAATTTGAACTTCATTAACGACCCCCCCCCCAACAAAGGTGAAGGCAATTAACACTGGCCGAAATAGAATGGGCCTCCTTTTGCGATGATGAACTGCCAGGTCCTGACACTAGTGTGTTAGTTAGTTAGTTAGTTAGTCAGTACAGCCAATTACACAGTTTGTTCAATTACTGGTAATTGTTTAACTGCGATAATGACAATCTTTTTCTCACAGAAGAACAGAGAATCTGTTACTGTACAGAGTGAGAGAGAGAGAGAGTTGGAGACAGTGGCTCAATTGTTCATTGATTTCGTGAAATGTCTGTCTGTGTCAACATGAAATAATGTGTACGTCTGAGTGAACACGTGGAAATCACACGGCCGGGCGCAGATGCATGCACAGAATCCATCTCACGAAGCAATGCAAAATGAATAACAGAAAAGAACATTTATTAGAGCTCGATAATTCCAGAAAAAAATAAAGAAATAACTTCACGCTGGTTTTCACAGCGTCTCGACGTGCATTTGTCTGGAATATCTTTAAGTGACACGCCTCTCCATCTCATACGCTCGTTTTCCTTTCATCACACTTCATATGCCAGGAACGTCATTAAACATCTGGCTACGTCATGCCTCTTAAGACTTGAATGTTCAAGAGACACTGTCGTTCAGAACCGCACACAACAAAAGCATTTTGAATTTTGTCAATTCACGATTTTACAGAGCTAATCAACATTAGAGATACTACACGTTACAGTACTATGAAATGTTATATTAACCTTAATTAAAATTTCAAATTAAATGTACAGATCTTAATGTCGCCTGCCCATTTAATTGTATATGATCTAACTTTTGTGCAAAGTATGCATGTTGTTTTATGATGAACTTATGTCTGAGACATGATGAATGATACACGTGAAACCGTGGTTACGGTGAATCGATAAGGGTCCAAATGAATTTTCACATCAGAGCTTCTAACGCAAAATCCCTTATTAAATTTCAACGGACACTAAAAACGCTGGGTGATGTGTCATGTGATGCCATGAATTTTACTAAGCGAAAAGCCCGTATAATTTCGTATAAATTCAGAACTACATTTTGCTTTACGCTTTTAAAACAATCAAATAAACTTACCTGTGTTATAATACTGTCCCTATACAAGCAGAGTCAAACAAGGGTCAATTTCATACATGAGCTGATTCCAAATCCAGCTGTAGAAATTAATCCTGCTAACTGAGTCATGTGGCTGTAAAGCATGAAATACTGTTACCTAGCATGGACACAGTTTAAGCAATTTTGTTGCTTTAACTGTTGACAGTTTTGAGATGCTGCTCTCTTATGCAAGGCGTCTTACTGATTACTATCGTGTTTTCTAACCTCTCCCAGTTTCTCTATTTCTTATTCAGTGGTGGTCTAGCGGTTAGAACGCTGGTCTTGTAATCCTGGGGTCTCGGGTTCGATTCCCGGCGGTGCCCGAATTTATATCTTGTGTTGGGCAAGGCCGTGGTCTAGGCAACCCGGAGTTTTCCTCCGTGGCATCCCAACAATTACTTCATTCACACACAGAAGAAGGCAATGGCAAACCACTTCTGGATCATCTGCCAAGAACGTATATGAACAGGTCCCAGTCCGAGAAAAGGATGGAAGGATCCTGTTCATATGGACCTGTCGTCAGACTGAACACTAAATAAAAAATAAATACTATGAGTAGTAACGAAAGAGGATTGTTAAAGCCAATATACCAACACAACAATACAGAGTAAACAAATTACGTCGCCATGCGTTAAAATGCCCGTCGTTTCCAGTACCTTTAATGTATACAAATTCGACCGCAACTTTGCAATTTCCAATATTTCCTGAGGCAGTGTTGGAAAGTCTTTCAAACTTTTTCCTTCAATAATTAACAATTCATTAATGTTGGCATGAGCTTTGTAACGTGCGTCAGAGCCAGAAAGTTTTTCTTGTTTTTTTAAAGTCTTGCGCCATTATATCGATGAAATCATTGAAAAGCTCTTCGGGGTGCGATGGGTGACAATGGATTAGAAACTGAACAAACAACACACGTAGCTGATAAGGCATTTGGTAGATCGCATCCAACTTTTCCATTCAGCGTCATCTTCGATCAGTCCACGTGCTAAACAGGCCTCTGTGAATGTATGATAAGTGACAGTGTCGTAAGTCTTTAAGTCCTCGTAGTTTTCTGCGCCTTTCACATTCATCAAAAGAACACGAAGATGAACATGTACTTTACTGAAGTAATCGATGATACAGACTCAACGTTGATGTGACAGTTTAATTCCTGCATCAAATAAGGACAGTATGGAACAACGTCTTGATTTGTCGCGACAAATCCATTTTTTGCGGAGTAAGTGCGTCCATTATTTTGTCGTTTGTAGATTGGGATAACCGTCTTGCAATTTAAAACAATATGGCCCTGATCGACTAATTCCGAGGTCCATGAGATTCGCTTGAAATGATGCGAATGCCATCATGTCGTTGTAAACACGACATTTGTTGCGAAAATGTCGAGGAGAAAAGAGTTTTCTAAGTTCATCAAGCACAACCTTTGTATTACTTCTTTACGTCGCTGATCAGAGGTCAACAGTTCTTGGTCAGTCAACTTTCTACGTCCAGCCCCACCCTTGAAAATCTTCGTCTTAAAATCGATCATAAAGTCAGTTTTCATAATAGTTTTCGTAATCGTAATATATCGTATGAGTATCAGTTTACCTTGTTGGAGTTGTTTCCCCCCCCCCCCCCCATGCAAAAAAGGAAAAACTGTAGCATACAGCATCTAATAAACCTTGTAGATCTTGTAATTGATAAATTACGGGCTTCATTAAAGTTGTCAGTTTGTTTCGAAATCATTTTGACAAATGACCCTTGTTCGAAAGCGTCACATTCCTTCGGTCTCAGCCAGAGAAAAAGAACAAAGGCAACTGAGTTCTACTGGAACGAAACCCAGACCTGTCAGAAAAATCTGTCACCTTGGAAAGCGATGAATTTGCGAGAATGCACTCACTCTTTAATGCAGGAGATTGCAACGTCTAAAGATGCGTGTGATACAGAGAGAGGAAGGCATCTTCCATAGTAATTTCACTACGACGACGACGTTCAGTCCGGGAATTTCAGTTTCTGTCCAGGTAGGGGGAGGTCCTCGCACTGAAAATGACAACCCCCGAAGTTGAAAGCAGCAGAACCAAACGTGAGCCACTTCAATCACTTTGACAACGAAATTGCAGATTACCCTACAAATCATATTAAACTGCCTCCCTATATGAATAAAATAAGACCCCAACAGTATCAAGCCGTATCATTGAAAGTTAATTTGCTCTCGTAATTCTAAGCTTCGTGAATAACATCGCATGTCGATCATGCAAATTTTTTTTTAGAGCAGTAGCATTTAATATTCTGTCCTGAAATCAGTGTGCGTTTAAAAAGCTTCAAAAATATTTTTAGCGTTTGTTAACGTATTTTCTTTTTTGTAGACGTAAAATACAAACATAGGCTTGGCGATATGATCTAGATGTGTCATAATTATTCTCTCATAATTACAGTAAACTTTTCTCCAACGCGTATTTGATTATACTTGTGAAAATAAATGCGAACGTGGACAATTCGATTATACGCGGTCTGACACGCACGCTGCAGTGAGCACATGAATGTTTCTAAATGTCAGCTCAGGTGATCTACATTCATGTGACCGTGCATGTCACGTGGGAAACAGCCCTACCTCTAAAGATCTGACACTTTTTATATTCCTACATTTTATCAGAAACGAACTGAATGTGGTACGGAGAGTTGGGTGGAAATTCGACGCCCGCACAAGACGTCATATTTAGCACCAATGAACGAAACGGTAATTTAAAACCGATGCCAACCGTCGCGAAGCTTGGTCATGACATGACCAAAAGAACCGAGAAAGGATGATTTGGAGCTGTAGAGAATTATGTAACGAGAAGAGTTTGTGGATTCTGTTTCACGGTGATATTGAACGTAAGGTCTGCGTGTCGGATGATCGGAAGTATGATAAACTTACGAGCAAGAATGATTAATAGCACTCGTGATATATTTTTTAATTCAGTCCGTACCGCAAAGAAAACACAACCACTACGAAGATGATGGAGCATGTCTCGCGTTGTATGGCACCTAGAATTCACACCGAACACGTGAAACGCTGTTTATTTTGTCAAATAACAGCACATATGTTACTTCGTAAACGGTCCTATTCGAAATCTTTGTTTCGGAAGGGTTTTCAATAGACAAGCATATTAGCATACGACAGTGATGGACTTTTAAAGGCCGAAACTCGTCGTTCAGTATTCACCATGTATGTATCAGAGACTCGCGATCATCCGGCGAATTATCAGCTACAATTTACATCTCTTATTTTCTCTTTAGGCGTCAATATAAGGTAAAATGAAATCTTCTGACGTCAGAAGAATGGGAAAAAGAAGACGTCTTTCCTCGTACAAATGCATTTGTCTCTCTGATTCAAGAGGGACGCTCAGCGCTCGGCGAAAAAAAGAGAATTGTTTGTGCATAGAGGCGAAGTCTGAACACTCACGGTTGTCATGAAGACGAACTGCCCTGTTAGTTGCATTAATATAATTGGTTTATGCTGGGAAGTTACATATCCGATTCTAGGTAACAAATGAACTTTATAGTTATTTCTGTGAGAACCCACAGAAGGTCCTGAGGCCAGCGCATCAGCCAGACGCTGGAGACGACACACTCCGTCATGATTAATGCACGAAACTCACACCAGGTGTAATGACGGTGGTTGCTTCGGCATAGATTATTTAACGGATCTGGAGCAAATGAATATATTTTCAGATCCGAATTGAACGAGGTCGTGATCATGTACGATAAAGTAAAGAGAGAGTGAGAAACGCCCGTTCGCATGCAGGTAAAACGATGACCTATTTCATAAATATTCACAAAATTCGATATATTACAACGAAAACCAAGTACCTCACTCAATTAGCCTTTGGAAAAAAAAAATGTATTTGTGATTAATGTGACGCGCCGGTAAGGACACGAAC